TAAACTAACGGCCTATCTCAAAGACATTTAATATAACAGGAAGATGGTTTAGAATATACGGGCTTAATAAATAAATAAATAACACACACACTCAACATAGCCCCGCACTAGGGAAACCCTGTGTCGCGGGTGCCATGGACACACATATAGACAACCACAAATTACACCATAACTCACGAGAGAAACAAATGTAGGTCATACAAATATTTCTCCCGGCCCGGGAATCGAACCTGGAACCTCTGCGTGGCAGTCCGGCATGGTAACCGTTCGGCCACAGAGGCAGTTAAATGGTGTCACGAAATAATTTTTACTGATTTTTTGTCGCAGTACAGCTCCTTGTGAAGGAGTTCATCCAGGAAAGTACTGCCACCTTACTTATTTCTGCCACCAAGCATTACTGCGTTCCAGTTTGGAAGGGTAAGGGTGCTGGTGTCTGTCTGTGACTTACCATCTTACGTCTCAGGGTGATGGGCATAGTGACAGTGCCCCTCAGATCTTTGCGATTAAAACCTCTAAGTGGCAGTGCAACTGTTATAGATAGACGTGTCGCTTACCAGCAGGCGCACGACTTGTTCGTCCCGTCACTTGGTTATTATATAAAAAAGGATAAAAAAAACAATTGGCGGCTCATTCGCAATACAATTTTCACATTGTAATTACACTTTCCACATATTTAACGCAATATGTGAATCGTTTGCAGCGTGACAACGTGGTCCGCAGCTTCCGCGTCGGCCGCATCTGGGTGCTCATCTGCACGGAGCTGATGGGGCGCGGCATCGACTTCCGAGGTGTAAACCTCGTCATCAACTACGACTTCCCACCATCCGCCATATCGTATATCCACAGGTTAGTTTTACTTCGGGAAATGAGGTACCAAGCAATAGCTAACGTTCACTATCGTATGCTGGTATTTTGTCACAAGTAAGACGTACAAATGTATTATTGAGATTTTTTGTGAATTCACTAGTTTTGTTATGATTCACAAAGATCGACGCACAGAAAAAGTTCTTGCTGCCGGTGGAACTTGAACTCGCAACCATGCTGCACCGTAGCATTACTCTTACCAACTGAGTTTGTGGCTTAGTCGTGAGTTCAAGTCTCACCGGCTCAAAGTAAAAAAAATCTGTATTCGATCTTTATATTAATAATCATAATAAGACGTACAATCTTACTCGACTTTCAAATGCAAACATTCTCCACTAATCATCCAGAACAAATTTTTTTTTAGTTTTAGGAACCAGTGGTCAATTGTTTTGTATTCCACTATAACAACAAAGTGCAGTAAGTTATTTTACTGCACTTTATTGTTCAATAAGTTTATTTATTATTAAAATTATTTCGATTGTGTAAGACATATAAATATTGATTTTTAAATGGGACAGGCGGTACTGCCCGGCAATGACACATTCGGACGGGGTCAGGGACACAGGTTTAAGAACCAGCGAACAATACGTATTATCATGAATCAATAAACTGACGATTACTGCTAATCTCCACACTACAGATTGTAACTCTGAAAAAGGTCAAACTCCCGTCTTATGTATAGATGGCGTTGATCGATAGCCTGGAAGTAGTTTATATTATGTAAATGACCGCGGATAGCTATAGCTAAAATTATATACTGAACTTTAACAAATATGCATGTCAATAGATGGCATTGTGTGTTACAAACTAATTTACAAATTACTTTAAATGAAGTAAAATTATAGTCGGCAGTGTCCAAATCTATGAAATAAGCACCATCTAGTTGATTTCTCTGTTATTACTAGGAATTAGAGTAGCTTTGATAAATTGCAGCTCGTTAATTTTTTGTTATTGTTGTTATTATTTTCACTTCATTATTATCAGTATTTCCATCAATCATTTCATCTTCAATTGATGTTTGTTTGCGATTTGTGAGTGTGATCGACCACGTAAAGCTGCCATGGCCGGGCCGGGCTGAAAATCAGGGAACATTTATTTTTATTTTGATTTCATTAATTTTATTTTTATATTTTTGCTATTACTGTTAATCATTATTTTTTTGTTATGTGTATGAAAATGAAAGGTGTAAATGTATGTTTTTTTTTTTAATATATTGAACAAGTTAATATGTAGGTTCGTGCTGGGTAATCAGCGATAAAGTGTTTCGTTTTCTGGCGTCCGCCTCGCCGCGCAACGCGGATTGCAGAGTGGGCCGCGCCGGACGCGCCGGGCAGCGGGGCCGAGCGATCACGTTCTTCACGCAGGACGACGCGGTCAACCTGCGCAGCATCGCCGCCGTCATGAAGCAGTCCGGCTGCGAGGTGCCCGACTACATGCTCAAGCTGAAGCTGAACAGGAACAAACAGAAGAAACGTGCCAGCAAAGCCCCCAGCAGGGATAACATCTCTACCATATTGGAGAAGCCGCAGAAGTACGTATAAATTTATACCTTGAAGACTTAATTATAAACTATAGTTTGTCTCTTCTGAAGACGTAAAATGACGGTTCATTGCGCATGTGTTGCCCGCGCGCAAGCAGGTAATGATTGCAGTTGCAAAATGTTCTATCGACTATTAACTGAACGATCCTTGACCCATTATCCATCCAATTACTGAGCACAAGTTCATTTGAATTGTCAATTTTTGCAAGTTCATACATACACTGTATTTAGAACTATGTGTATGAAAAATAGAAAGAAGACATATTTAAAGTATTTTTTTTGTTTTTCATTTTGATTCATCGTGGATAATCAATTCCGGGTATTCTTGTTTAAATGTATATATAAATTAAAATTGTTCTCGATACTAGTACGCCAACTGTCCCAATAAGAATAAAAAAGACAGTAACGCAATTAGTAAGCATTAGAACGTCGTTAACTTTCACAATTCAGTGAGTTTTTGCAATATTTCGTCTTCTTTCACAAAAATAAAACTGTCGACAACAACTACATAACTATTTAAAATTTATGAAAACTGGCAACCCTACAAATGTCATTTGACTCCGTCTTCAAAAAAGACAGAATATACGTTACATATATGAGTTTAGGCCTGTAACTCAGCAAAATGGCGGAAGTGAAAAAATTTATGAATAAATTTCTATAAAAAACTTTAAATATTTATTTATATTATGTTTTTCCAAAATTTCTAAGAAAAATGTCAAAGTATTTTTGGAAAAATAGTCGCAACAATTACCACCATTCGTAAAGTTACTTTAAATATGCACTACCATTTCGAAAGAGAAACGAATACAGTCGCGCAGTTGTATTAATCTATTTATATATTTTTACATTTTACATATAATAACTTCCTAGTGATGTACAGTCAAGAGCACATCAATCACAAGCGGCATTAGAGTTCAATTTCAAGCTTGACGTGCTCTGGACCTATAAACAAATTTATTATAAAAATGCACAAACTTAAATTTTTTTTTAACAAACACAATATTGATTTTTTTAGGAGAAAATTAAATGAGAAAGATTCAAATCAAAATGAAAAGGCAAAAGATACGGACACTGTAAAAAATGGTATGAAGAAAAAACACAGGAAAATACAAAATGGTACCACAACGAAGACAAAAAATCAAAATGGCGTTCAGATTGGTCAAAACGCAAAGAAGAGTCTCAAGAAAACGAAAAGCAAAGTTTTAGCCAAAAAAGTAATAAAACGGTCTAAAACGTAATAAATAAATCTAGAATAAAAATGTAAATAAATTTAGCTTTTTTATTTTAAACTAGCTTTCGCCCATAAAACTGTCTGTTTAGTCTAGAGCAAGGTTCCCTCTCAAAATGTCAGAGACCCACAGACCCTTTTCGAAAAGATAAAAACTTAATTTTATCTTTTACTTGCTTATATTGTTTGCGATAAAATTTTACTTAATTCAATATGAATAGTTAGATAGCGCTATTATTATGTTAAATAGGCTCGCCACGGACCCCTGGCGTCCATTACATTGATCCCTCAGGGGTCCGTGGACCACAGGTTAAGAAACCCTGATGTAGAGTCTTCAGTGACTTGGATACTTTCCGAAAGTTCCAAAAAATGATAACTTGTAAAAAAAATCAGTAGGATTTTTGCAGAACTTATTCATATTTATTTGCATAAGTAGTTACGACGTCCTTTTGATCCAAACAAAATTTTGCCACCGTATAGTGTTTTTTTAATGGGACGGTATGGGGAAATCCGAAACAATAGGTCTTTCTTTGTGAAAACAATTAAGGCATAATTTTTCAATTTTTTGGTCAAGCTTAAGTTGTCCATAAAATAAATTAACTAATTTTCTTTTAGTTCTGACAGACTCAGCATAAGAATAATTTCATTATATAGGACGAAAAAAATCGGGACATCAGAAGTTGGTCAAATTTAATAAAATTATTTTTCATATAAAATGAATTAAAAAAGATTTTGACCTTATCACACCTAGGGATATGAAATTCAGACGGGGCGCTAGACATCTAGCGCTCAGTTGAGAGGGCTCTGTGGTGAACTGAACAATAAGGTACTAAAAGAAAAAAAAACTTTTAGGAAATGAAACTATTTTTCCGGATTTAAATCGCGTATATTTATTTTTTCAAACAATCCGACGTTTCGGACCCAATCCGTTAAATCCGGAAAAATAGTTTCATTTCCTATGTGTAACAATCGCGAAAACCTAAGAACTCAAAAACATTTTATTTTTTAAGGTACGTTGAGATTTGACAAGGGATAAAAAAGTCAATGTATAACACTTTGGCAGCAGCTCCAAATATTTTATTATTTATCGCCATATTTTTTGCAAAACAAAACAACGGTTTCAGGTAAACAACACAGTGTTATTTTCAATTTTTATATTTGTGACATTTCTAATATTTATAAAACCACACAAAATATACAGTCTTTATTGAAATTATATACAAAAAATAGCATTTTTAATAATCCTCCATAATAAAAAAAATTATAACAAAGATGTTAAACTTATTACATTTATTTTATACACTTAAATGGGATAAAAAAACAGGTAAAAATCGCCAAAACTCAATAATCATGGCACATGTAATACATTTTGTCTTTAGAAGCCTCAACAGTTGAAATCTTTGAAAATATAAAATAACATTCTAATAACTATACACATTCATAATTATAAGCCTCTTCTTTGCTATAAACTTCCGGAAATTCGGCATAACGTTCCAGCGTGATCTTACAAGGCCAATGCGCTTCAGTCACGAATTTACAATGACCTTGACAATGATTTTGTTTTTCACTATACGAAATATTCATTAATTATATTTGTTTCTAAATTCCGGCGGTAAGTGCTTTCTTTTGTATATTTTGTAGCATTATTTAGAAAATTCAATATAATGAATATTCTATAATCACGTACCAACTTTTTTTACAAAGAGTCTGCAATGTTTCGTAGCTGTTTTTCCAAAATGCATAACATAACTACGCATGCGTAAGTTTAGTTCCAACATTTAACAAAATTAAAAGGCAAAGAGACTCGAGCACAGTAAGCCTTACGAGCTTTTGACCAATAAAATGTTGATTATTCATAATAAAATATATGTCCTAATAATTATTATAGTCTTCGTAATTGGATATTGATTTGTCTATTGGAATTTAAGAAATTAAATAGTATGACAAAGCACACTGCACTTGTGCGAAAGTATAACACGACAAGTGGAGTCGAAACACTGGACAGTTCGTATTATTATTATTATTTATTATTAGCGTCATACAGTTGAATTTAAATTGAATAACTTGATGTACTATTGACCCTGTACCTCATTTTATTTATTTTTTGTTCTTGGATTTCGCAATATCTTTGCAATTTAAATGTTAAAGGATTTTAATAATAAGGTGATTCACGAGAATAGAAAAATCCTTGGTGAACCACGGGAAGAAATAATTGCCGATGGTCCATCCAGGTGGTCCACGGGCAAGAAGTGGATATAGCCACTGACAAAGATTCAAAAAAAAATGTGTCTAGCCATCTATAGTAGTCTTTTTTTCGAGACAGCTTTGATTCTTGTTGATTTTTAGAGATTCGTATCGGATTGTTATGTACTTTTAATTAAAAATACGATTGTACCAACGAGTTGTGAGAACTTTGATAAAAAAAATTTTGTCCAATTCCTTAGTAAGTAAATATAGAGATTCCATAGCCAATATTGTTTTTGAACAAGCGGACTAATTTGTTTTTAAAAAAAAAATTTGACGCCTAGAATAGACGCTAAAGAACTATTGTACTAACTTTTTGAATTAAAATTAATGGCGTTAATTGAATTTGCTAAAACCTAATTAATTATACACAAAAATCTTACCTTTTATATACATTAAACAGGAATAATTATACTTAAAAATTTAAGTTACATTCTACACCCAAATCGATGCATACAGAGATCTCCGAAATTTAACAAAATAACATCAAAATATTACACTACGTACATAATCAATTTTAGAAATACGTATGCCTATAATTATATTATAAAACCTATACAATATATTATGTACCAACTACGTGTCTTACACAGTAAAAAGTTCATTTTAAAGACACTACCAAAGCTCGTTTTCTTTTTAAACTAGACATAATTTTTTTTACATAGAAGCAAATTTACAAAACGACACTAAGTATAATGATTTTCATCACATCAATAAGCTGCCACTTCACCAGGTCCGTATTCAGCATTGTGAGGTCCAAACGCATAATCACTGACTATAATTCCAACTTAAACAAAAGTTTTTTATGTCACTAACTGTAATTATATAAATTTTACAAATTTAGTCTTTTTTAATATAAATAAACCATTCTAAATGGCGCATAATGTATGGAAGGACACTCGTATCAAACCACATCGGCCATAATGTTCTTCCACGCAGAACACGTTTGTACATATTTCTTTTCCTCTTAAAACCATTCATAGAAATGACTATAAAAATTACTCTCCCAGTTCCCTCATTCACACAACCAATCACAAGGCAACCTGGGCATTTTGTTTGCTGGCCAAGGCAAGTAGCCAGCTGTTTTAAATACCCAATAATCATATGAAACTTTGCTTATTAGCAGCACCAGTACCAACACTTCTAACGCTATTATGTAGTAGATATAGTCTGTCCAATCCCGATTCGCGTGACACACTTGGGACTCGAATAGATCCACTACTGGTGTGTTTTCTTCGCACATTAGGTGCCTGTAGTCTGGTATATTCTTCGAATTCTCCATCAGCCACGGCTAAGGGAAAAACAGATATAGTTAGTACATTTAATTTTGTATGATAACTCGCAGACAGAAAAGCATAGTCCAAACAGGATTGAATTTACTGTCGAATTTCGTAGTCACTTTTTTCAATGGTGGCCTAGTGGACATTGCTAATTGCCATAACCTCCTCAATCTGTTATATTTCTGCGCGTGGTCTAAAATATCGTCTTACCTTGAATACCTTCTCGGTGTTACAATCACAGTGAATGTAGTTGCCAGCGATAGAGAAGGTAGTGTACGAGTTCGTCATATCAAACTTATTGGACAATACGTACGTGTGAATCTACAACAGAATGATATCGTGATAAGGAACAAATAATACAATACAATACAATATCTTTATTTCCGTTCCACAATGGTATACAAGGTGTTATGTAATAGTAAGTTAACATCATGGACCCTTTCGGGCACAATAAATAGAAGGGAAGACCGTAAGGGCTGTTTTCAAATGCAAAAACTATTTGTTAAAGAGTTCCGTTCAAAAATTCTTTAATATCATAATAGCATTACATAACATATTAATAATTCTTTTAGTTTTTTAAAAAAATATTCTATAATTAGTTTCTTTTCTCAGTGCATCAGGTAGTTGATTATAATTTTTTATCGCCATGACATGTGGGCTAGAGGAATGTAGAGTTAATCTTGACATTGGAATCATTAATCTATTTTTGTGACGTAATAAAAATTCTGATGGAATGTCTTGACGGCGTTTAAAAAAACTCTGGTTATTACGAACAAATTTACAAATCTCAAATATATAAGCGTGAGTAACTTGATCTTCTGGAAGTGAGGCCGGCAACTATCTGTCTCTTTGAGGTTTGCTATTATTCTTATTAGTTTTTTTTTTTTTTTGTAACACAAATAGAGATGGTGCTTCGGTACTATAATCTACTATAATATAATCGGTAATGCAAAGGCGATGCAAAAAGTAATCATAGAAACCCTAAGTTATCTACTACATTCAACATCATAATTAAAGTTCAACATGGATCAATGTCCTGTGCACATATAAAATCGGAGTCTTATAAGAGACGGTACTGATGTAGTTGGAGGCTTAAAAGAATTTTTTGTATTGAAAATATAAGTGTCCGAATCAAAACATTTACTCACCGCGCTAAGTTTGTTATGAGTAATGGAGAAAAGCATGAAGTTGTCGATAAACTTGGTCCCCTCGAGCTCCACGATGCTCGTGATGTCGTTATAGTCCACGATCAACTGTTTTAGCTGGTCGTACGACGGATCGTCGCTCATTGGCTGGAGAGACGTGATCTGTAAAAAAATCATTCCAAGTTTTAAAAAACCAAAATAAACTCAGTCCGGCAGATAATTTATATACTGCGCCAGTCCAAAATATACCAATTTTAACTGAAAAAAGTCTTTTACAGCGCATCTGTCGTTTTATTCCTACGACGATGATACCTCTTATATAACATAACTATATACAACTAAAACTACCCCTCAACAAAAGCCGGCCAACCGTACACAGCAAGCCGTCGTCAAAATAAGTCAGAACATCACCCCTACCATAAATATAAGTAATTGTGCTAGTTCAATTAAACTTAAGTAAGATTATGACAAACAATCAAACTCACATTATTGTGCGACACATTTAACTTGACAGTATTCGTGGGCAGATTGGTAGGCATCTCTTTAAGTCCGCGTTGAGAGCAGTCTACGGAAATGAGGTTCACGGCCTCCTCGGTCAGCAGCTCAAGCCGCTCCAGCGAACATGTGCAATTTATGTTTTCGGGGCGAATGAATTTGCACATTTTGTGTAGCTGCAAAAGGATTTTATTAAATTACCTTCATAACGCAGCAATATGAGAACTTTTATATTTTTCTTGAAATCTACAATCACTCAAACAGACTATAATCAAATGAGTTGGAAGATGTAGGGCGTTCCAGAAGACCATTGTCTTATCTCCCCTTAATTGCACAGCACATCGGCTCTTTTCAGTCTTCTACTGAAAAGAGCTACTTCTTAGAGCAATGCGTTATGATGAACTCCTAGTCGATGCCTGTAGTGAACTGTATAGCGTTTAGCTTCTTCGAGAACCGTTGGCATTTCCGAAGAGTTGTGTATTTCAGAGTTACGAGCGTACAAGGGTAACTTTTTGTATAAGTATTAGTAGTGGAGGCTACAACCTCCAATAACCTTGAACGGAGTTTCCAAACTAAACTCCCTACCGGCTGCTAAACATTGTTTTAAACTATCATGATTACTGTACTGTAGGAGCACCTTATTGCAAACACTCACTATACTGTATCTCTACTCACCTCTTTCTGCTGATGAAGGTAGTCGATATTGACAATGGTGGTCTCCATAAACCAGTTGTAACGTACGTCCAGCGCGCATCGAGTCTTCTCATAGTTGTGGAAATAAACAATCTTTGATTCCATCGCTTTCAGGAAATGCTTGCAGGGGATATAGTCGTTGCCTGAAATCAGCATTTATGAATATGACAGTCGTTAAATGTTAGAATTTAAACTAATATTTGTCAGAGGGCATCCACCAATTACTTAACTGGTAATTAATTAGTGAATCCATGAATATCGGCGCCCGGACCTTTGAGAACGGCGCGGTTGCCACGTCTCCCGCTTTTCGTGACAACAGTGCCCTACCACACCCCATTCCTACCCTAGTCATTGTTTCTGTCTTTTATACTCTTTCCGCCAATCTAAGGTCAGGCGTACCGATTACTATATAATTACCGATACCGACCTGGAATGCCAAGCTCTTCCAGAATGGACTTAGTTTTCCATAAGCTACGATACGAGTAGATGAGGTGAAAGAGATTTGTCAGGAGCGTAGCCAGTGGAAGTTCATGGTATCCTCCTGCCCCAGTGGAAGATAGGCGTAATGGGATATTTGTTTAAATAATATCAGGGGTGCACACTCCCGACAGTGTAATTACTATTACAAATATATTAACATAACATCATTGACTTACAAATAAATGGACGACGACGGGTCTAATACAAAAACCACGAAAAAAATGTCCCAAGTCAACCTATTTAAACGTAGTAACATGTGAAGGAATATGAAAAAGCTAAAACGTTGAATTTAAATTGTAATGTCATCGCAGTACTGTCTAATTTTGCTTGCTTCGCTGTCAGTCGAACAAACGAAGACTAAAGCGTGAATGACGCTCTGTATACGATTTTAACGCTCTATAAGGTCGGACACTTTTTAGCGCGGACCCGACGTCCATATAATTGTAAATCAATGCATAACATTATGAAAATTAAACCTAATTTAAAAAAAAAATTTACAATGTCATTCAAAGCTGACTTATTATTACGCAAAATTAAAATTTAATTAATTAAGTCCCCCAGTCAACCGTGACCATGGGACCTGTAAAGGGCCCGAAACGTCGGTTTGTTTGAAAAAACAAATATACGCGATTTAAATCCAGAAAAATAGTTTCATTTCCTATGTGTAACAATCGCGAAAACCTAAGAACTCGATAAGTCCCCCACTTAACAACCAGGAAAATTTTTGGTGTCCTCTGCGCTTTCAAGCGACCTTGAAAACTAAGCAAACTAAATACTCACCTGAGAAATCAACAGTGATCTTCCTATTGCTCTGTACCAAGCTCAAAGGGAACTCCGTTAAATTATTGGCTGATGCGTCCAAGTACGTGAGGTAGATGAGATGGGCGAAAGGACGTTCATTCGAGGGGTCCAGTTTTTTGCTTGTGAGATTGTTGTTCGAGATGTTAAGGCAGGCTATTGATGAGTGTTTTGGGAATTGCCCTGGAGACAAAAAGCAATTCAAGGTCATTGACAAGAGCAACAGTTAGATACTTGACATGTTATTCATACAGGTGAATTGTCCTGCCTCTGTGCCTGTAGTGGTTTACCGACATTTTTCTGAATAAAAGAATTTTCAGAGGAACTTACCAACAATCATGCCAATGTTTCCGTCAGTAAAAGACATGGATACGAGTCTCCTGTACATCGCTTCGGACACGTTGAGCTTATCGAGCGTCGCGTTTAGCACGTGTAGATTCGACGTATTTTGTCCTAGAACAATATTGGCAGATTTCATTACATTGACGCAAACACTTCAAAAAAGATTAAAGATCTTCTAGTGAGAAATATCTATCAGAAAATGAACAATCTGGTTTCCTCTGTGTTACATCTATGCATTTTTGTTTTATGCAGCGGTCCCCGAACGATCTGCTAAGCACTCTGTAATGACGGTCAGTCACATCAACTGAACAGAAAGAGCACATAAATGTACCATGTGTCATACACAGATACTAATGACCGAAATCTATGCCATAAGCATTAAACATAACAGCTGCGTACTTTGATAGTACTTACTGAATATCTGCAATGCCTCTTTAAACCGAAAGCTATCAACATCGCAGCAAAACACGGAGACGGGGTCGATTCGAGTGCAGGCAGTGCCGTTGGGTGGGCACTTAGATCGAGGCATGTGGAAGCAACTATTGTTGCGCTTCTTCTGCTCCTCCACTGTTGTCAACGGCTCTGGACTTGGAGATGACGCTTGAGGTTGCTACACAAACAAGATGCCTTTTTTAGAACCAGCCCTCAACAGGACAAGGGCGAGATATGGGTCAGTGGCATCCGTTGCTAAACAATGTTGCGGTCTAAAAGAACGTGTCCGTTTGAGAAAACTGGCATCTGTTGTTGTTCTCCGCTGCAAAAAGTACAGGTAAGATAAATATAATACATAAATAATAATAACGCACACACTCAACATAGCCCCGCACTAGGGAAACCCTGTGTCGCGGGTGCCATGGACACACACATAGACAACCACAAATTACACCCAAAACTCACGAGAGAAATAATTGTAGGTCATACAAATATTTCTCCCGGCCCGGGAATCGAACCTGGGACCTCTGCGTGGCAGTCCGGTAACCGTTCGGCCACGGAGGCAGTTATAAATATGACAACAAAAAGTAAGAGTAGTGAACAGTCACCATTGAAACTGGTCCAAGTATTCATAACTATCGATTAAACGCTTGTAACTTGTAAATTAAGCGCTTGTAACCCAATAATAGCATACGAAATAAGATACAACCACATAAGATACATTCAATAAACTATACATTAGATTACTTCGGATTAGAATAAGCAGGTGCCAATAAAATGTGGCTTATTATTTAAATTTCAAACAGTGCATATAATTGTATTGTTATAATAAATATATTTCTCAAACGTGCTCGGAAATGTTTGCATTACTTTAAAAAAACGAACACGGAAATTTTTTGTCATTTATGGACCGTGCGACTTCTTCCCGGCCAAGGCCTGCAAAGTATGAAAATGATGAAAATCCATAATAATGTCCTCTTCTATAAACTTTTATATCTATACCTACTAATTTAGTGAACTATGTACAGACAAAAGAAAAACTCATACAGCCAACTGCCCAGTGTTCATAATTGCGAGAATTAAAAATACCTTAACTACCGCTTTTTAAAAAAAAAGGAAAATGGCGGTAACATTTATACTAAAGTGTTTTGGTATTCTTTTGTTTTTTCGCCTTTTTTGTATTTTGGTCGCGACAATAAGTGCTAGTAACAAGAGCGATAACGAAAATATAATATTAACAATTATTAACACAAAACAATAACATTTTCTTTTAGCAATTGTATTGTATAAATTTTAATGTTAATTAATTTTTTTTTACTTTTTCTATTATACATCTTCCTCTCTATAATATTTTATTATTTCCTCGCATTGTTTGAGAAAAATTCTACACAAGTCTCGGCGGGAACGAGGATTGCTTGACTCGTATTAATACAAAGCCTCTCTGGCGCTCGTCCTTGTAACTCATACTCGTCCAACAATCCCTTACTCCCCGGCCTCTGCAATAATGTACTGTTACTTACTTCAGCTACATATTTTTGCATTTCATCGTCATTCGTCCTCATCTCAATGCTGGGCACGTAAGTCGCCAAATATAACACGAAACTCCATAAGAATACCTGAAAAAAATACATATAATTATTATTCTTCAATAATGTTATTGAAAGAGCCGGATTTTCTAAACAGTATACTAAACAGAACAATTCCTCAAATTGTGGAATAGCAGTACCTAGTAAAGTTCCTTGTGAAAGAATTCATCCCGGGATAACAGAAAAGTTTCTGCAGCCATGCAAAAATGTACGCATTACTGGGGTCCAGTTTTCAAGAGTAAGCGCTAGTGAAACTACAAGCACATGGGATTTGTCAACTTCATGTCTCAGGGTCGTATTCCAGAACTCTATTCAATGCTCAAGTCAGGATTTGAGCAGGCTTGAGTATGATTTCAAGCACTAGAAATACGACCCTAATGGCAAGGACTTGAGTATGATTTTCAGTCCTCACTGCAATACTCAAGTCCTGACTTGAGTATTGAGTAGAGTTCTGGATTACGACCCTCAGAGTAGCGGTCGGAGTGGCAGAACCCCTCAAATCGTGTTGATTAAAGCTCTGAGTCATACTGCACTGTTATGGATAAGAGTGTGGACCACCTGGTGGACTTATTCGTACCTTCACTTGATAACACATTAAAAAAACAGTGATATCAATGCTATGGAAAGCTGTCCTAAATAAATATTTATTTTATTATACGTTATTCACCTTACAACAATGCAAGAAGTGGCCCTTTAAAATCAGGAACACCGCAGTTAAAGATATCACAATTAGTAATTATTTCGTTGTAATACCCACACATTCTGTATAGAGGACTATTTATATAGACCCCCGAAATATTCGAAGTGCGGCCCTGTCAGTTTTCAATGTCGTTAATATTCAACAGTTGGAGATGGATTAAAAATACACATGCACGGTTTGTATAATGTAACAGGTGGATTTATATTACGTTTGATATATGTAATGGAATATTTTCATAATGTAATGTGGGCTCAACGTGTTAACTTGTCGAGACAAGTTGTCACGTCCCGTGTCTTGTAAGAATTTAATAGCTTGAAAAACTGTTCCAAACGTTTGAACTTTTAAGCAAGAAAGAAAGAAAGAAAAGAGGCGCACCATATCTCAGTAAACTTAGGAAGGGGTAAGGGTATTATTTGATTTATGGTCTCTGCCCCATCTATACATACTCGAAGCTAGTGTATTTGTAAGGGTAAATCGACAAAAATGTATACTGTAACTGCTAGATGCCTAAGAAACCCAAACAAATTGATACTAAGCACCATCCGTACCAACGTTTCCAAAGTAACTGTTAAGCAATGTGTGAAAAAATATTTAATTTTTAATTAAACCAGAATGTAATTATTCTACTCGGTTGACCATTTTTTTCTATAAAATTTAAGTGCGCATTTGACCTCCATCGCCATCTTATCACACGATCCTCATCGGGTTGTTCTAGAAATGTATACCCCATTTTTTTATCTCCATATTTACTGCCGTATCTTCCCCATCGTCTCAACTTCCTCAAATAGGTACGCGACTATTCGATATTCATTTTTAGTAAATCATGACCTATTTCTTTCCATTAAAACGTGACGTAATAAACCTTCGTGGTTTGTATCTATGTCTCAGTTAACCACTACTGACGTAGTTAAAATAATGTTAACCATTTTTCCTTTATATTTCGGCCACAGAGTTTTATAAACCTTCGAAGGTTTTGAATGAAGGCTTAAGCGCTATAGTTGTTATTCACAATACGAGTTGTTATTTAGTAGCAGTAGACATCCTAATGAAAGAGCTCGTCCAGGGAAGTAACCTTAAGGAAGTAATCACAGGCACATGGGTCTTTTCGACTTCTGTTTCAGGGTGACGAGCGCAATGATAGTGCCCCTCAGATATTTGCGATTTGAAGCTATGAGTGGCACTGCAACTGTTAAGGATAGGCGTATAGCTTATTTAGATTATTCGTCCGATAGAAGTCTATAAAATTCGTCCTATCATAAAAAAAATTACAAGTGTAAATTCAGGAATTATTATATTTAACAGTGTTTATTATTTAACAGTGTTAATTTATTCACTCATTACATATAATAAAATTTATATTATAATGAATATTAATATGTGTATGTATTAAGATTAACATTTGGATATTTTTTGTTATTTTGTTTTTAATTTGTTTATTTAATCAATTATTGTACAGGATACACACCAATGACATTCATGTTTTTTTTTTCAATATTCCTGCAAATACTATATTTGTTTAAAAGGTACCTACATTAATCTGTTAAAAAAAGTAGCAAATTTTTAAACATTTTCCTTTTTTTCTTCCGGCATCTTGTCCCAATAAAACGAAATGTAATAGACAATAATCTCAGTGTAGAGTACTAAAAAAACCGACCTCAAAAGTCATTCGTCTCCTAGTTTGCCACCCATAGAGGTGGATTATATTGTTCAAATTGAAATGGAACCACTACTGAGATAACCTCTTTCCTATAAAAGAAGAATCATCAAAATCGGTTTACAAATGACGGAGTTATCGCGTAACATCCATACAAAAAAATACAGTCTAATTGAGAACTTCCTCCTTTTTTTAAGTCGGTTAAAAAAGTGACGCTCATTTTGACAACAATATCAAATAATGTGTCACGATAGTGGCCAGTATTATTTTTACATTGGAAATAGTCAAAACAGACATCTTTCATAATACAATAACTAAGAAATGCATGAAATACCTAATAATGAAGATTTGATCTATAAATCGGACTAAAAAACTGTGAAAATGTCCAGTATTTTTTTGCGTTTGTTCATACAACATGTATCTATGTATGTAGTGGTTGCTAGAGAAGATGGACAGTAAGTCCCATTATCCAATATCGACTTCCCCTCCTTTATAAACGGGAATAGCTGTCAAGGTAAAGACGCTACGTAGGTATAGTTATGCAAGTTTTTTTGTTTCAGTTGAACGTGGCTTCTAGTCAGCTTATCGTATATAGAGATGTCGGAAGTGCTAACATGTTTTGTTTAACTCTGAGTGGCACTTGTCATTTGACATCATAATAAAAATCTTAAATACAAATTCTGTCGTTGTAACAGTAACTATTTTTTTATGGTTAATTAGTGACGGAATGAAAAAGTCGTGCGCCTGGTGGCAACTAGCACATATACCCAGTTACAGTGCCACTCAGAGGTTTAATTATAATGATAATAATTGACGGGACGGACAAGTTGTGGGCCTAGGGGCAAGCCACACGCCTGTCTGTAGCAATTGTAGTCCCACGGTTTAAATCACAAAGATCATAGGAGTACTGCCACTGCACCCGACACCCTGAGACGTACGTTGACGAAGCCACTGTGCCTGTAATTTCACCGTTACCCCTCGAAACCGGAACGCAATAATGTTCACATTACCGCTTGGCGGCAGAAATAGGTAAGGTGGCAGTACTTCCCTGGGTGTACTCTTTCACGAGGCGTTCTACTGCTACTAAAAAAAGTCCAAGTAGCCTATAATTTCACCAGTATCCTTACACTTCAAAACCGTACTATGTATTACTATGTAACCATGTATTAGACTAATAATACCTCCACGTTTGATAACTAGTAACCATCTCAGTCAGATGTGACCATGGGATTTATAAAGAGCACTAATCGTTGGTTTGTCTAAAAAAAACAAATAATTATAGTTAAACGCAACGTATTCATCATTTAACGGACTTACTTTTAAATAGAATTAAATGCTATGGACAAGCGTGTCGCTTATGGGCATTTGTACAAAGCGCAATAATTTTCTGTGTCCGTACACTACACTCCATTTATTTGTCAAAACAAAACTCTACAAAAAAAGAGAGTGTAATATAGGTCGATAGCTAACTGGAGAGCACAATATCTTCCCAATAAACTTTTTGGATCTAATGCAAAACAAATCCGAAAGATCTAAAACCTGACAACGGTTTCGTGTCCCGAATGCAGAATTCAACGCAAAGTGTCATTTTTCTCAAAATTATGTACATATTAGACTTTAGTTCATATATAAATAAGTTAGATGACAGTACTTTTAATCTGAATTTAACAATAAACTAGACAATAGTAAATGAAACTATTTTTCCGGATTTAAATCGCGTATTATAGTACGGTTGACCGTGACCATGGGACCTGTAAAGGGCCCGAAACGTCGGTTTGTTTGAAAAAATAAATATACGCGATTTAAATCCGGAAAAATAGTTTCATTTCCTATGTGTAACAATTGCGAAAACCTAAGAACTAGACAATAGTTTTATCAAAATACCAAGATTAGAATAGAATAGAAATCATTTATTCCTTGAAACACAGTACACATGCATTTTATAAAAATAATAATAATAATACTGACAATAATAGTAATAATAACCCAAGGATTTGAAACTAAATACATATAACATATAGAGTACAAAGCGTGTGTGCTGTGCTGCCAAGGAAACCGTGACCCACTCAGCTTGTTGTTGTCTCGAATTCAAGTGCTACGACGCTGATTTTCAGCGGATCCGGCAACAGAACACACATGACACGGAACATAGTAGGCGACACTAAAGACACTCGATGACACAAGCACATAATCATATTAATTTAAACACAAAACATGAACAGTCTTTTCCATTAAAATACAATTAATGTAGTTACCATTTAATAAGTACCATGTCATGCGCAAAAAATTACAATACAATTGAATGGAAATTAATATGATAAAATAGGAATGTGTATATTAATTTGATAAAATTATAAAATGAGATTTAATTTATTAATTGAGAAGTTTGATTACAATTAAACAGACGAACAATATTAAACTAAAACGCATATGTACCCGGCACATCAACAGCAACGATGGATATTTTTGAAGATTTTGCAGATACTCTTGGAGTAATTTTTATTAATACAAACAACGAGAATACGTTTGCATGCAAACCGTATGTACGGTGTAGTACATAAAACATTTTACATGTGAATGTCTGTCGCAATCTGAACCAGCTGTGGTCGGTTCACATAAACACTTCAGTACGTGTGTTCGGAGCTTTGAGATTAACGTACAATTATCAGCTTTGAT